TCTGGGAATGCTCGATCATGGTGATGTCTGGTATGGTCTGCACATAAAAAAGAATTGATTATGTATAACGTGAAAAATTAAAATTAGTGCTAATGCTAAGTAGCATATACAAATGATGTTTTACCTGTCCTGAGTAAATATGGTCTGAAACGTGGCTAACCTGGAGGGTCAAAACATCAAGGCATATCGGTCCTGGATCCATAATGAATATAACTGAGAAGTCGACGTGAAGAAAATGCACAATGTGTTAGATCTTTTTGTTAAAATACTCATCTAGTTATATATAAACAACAAACGAATGCGCAACGTGAAGAAAGCAATAACTTGAAACCAAACATTAAATTTATATAACATAGTACGAAACGATACAAATTACAATCACAAATGAGATACAGAAACAAACGACTCACGAAACCGCTACAAATTACAATCACAATTGACACACGGAAACAAACACAGAACGAAACCCCTAACATTTAACAATCACAAATGACATACGGAAGAAAACACAGATCGAAACCGTTACAAATTACAACATCAACGCCTAATCCTAACTGGACAATTATTTTTGTTATGGCCCGGTTGATCACATCTACTACACTTATTTCTCCTCCTAACTCCTTCACGACCGTCATCCATACAATTTCTAATTCGTACGGAACGAGGGCGCCCCGCCGACCTTTTATACAAAGGAGGCAATATCAGTGGCCCGTCTTGTGTCCAATATCGACTATCATATGGTGGACGAAAACACTCTTTGTATGTTTGTCGATAGTTGTAAGTAGAATACCAAGCCTCGACGAACTCATAGTGTGAAATCCTCGCACCACCTTGTAGATCAGAACAAGCCGCGACAACATGTGAGCAAGGAATCCATTGTAATTGAGGTACGTTACAAGTGCACGTACACGAGTGATCCACTAACATGTTAACTTTATAAGAGCGATTTTCTCTATGTGATATTCCCTCAATGACTTTCCATTCCTTAAAACTGTATCTTACGACATGAAAGGATCGAGCTTGTACAATCCGAGCCGCTAACATTTCATCATTTTTCGGTGTGAGCTCCGAGCGGATATTTTCACCAAGTTCACGACGTCGTAGAAAGAAGTTATTAAGTCTGTAGAATGTTTTAGCAACTAGTGACTGTATTGGCATACCACGTGCTCCCCTGAGCACGCCATTAAAACTCTCTAAAGCGTTCGTAGTCATCATACAGAACCGTCTCCCGCCATCTTCACATAAAGCCCACTTATCAACATTGTGTGGTCCCAAACTAGTTTCGATCCAATCATGTGCAGCTCGGGAGATAAACTTAATCCTCTCTCGTATTTGATCATAAACTAATTTTTCTGTTGCACAGCCGGCTTGCCAAAGAAGATCTTGAACCTGACCGTTTCCAAATTTCTTCTTGAAGTTGTCCCTAATATGTCGTAAGCAATAACGATGTGCATGTGGCTCTGGGAAATGACATTTGAGTGCTCTTGGAATTCCTTTCATCCTATCATATATGAATGTAATCGGCCGCGCACCCACACTAGGGATATGATATCTAATGCATGCAAAAAACCACGCCCAATTCCATCATAATTCAACGATTTGCCCAAATTCCTTTGATGTTTTTCAATGAACAATTCAATCGAACGCTTCTCATCATGTAAGACTCCAATTAGACTCATATCGTAGTCACTTGATATTTGAATGCCGCTTGTCCTGTTCTCCACGACAGGATAATTGCAAATAACATTAAGGTGATACTCACGTGAGTTGGTTAATGTAAGTTTGTGCAATTCATTAACCAACTCATCGAAAGTACACGATTTTGTTATAAACAATGGTCTCGTCGTACCTCCTTCATAAACGGGCATATTATTTTCGAGGTATTTAATCTTCCCATCATACGAACACAAAATTACGATTCGATCGTTCATCATTACCTCTGAAGAGTAAAACAATCAAGATCAATATT